GCCTGGGAATAGCCCAGACCTTAACCCAATTGAAAATCTATGGAGTCGACTAAAGAAATTTGTTAGTCAGAAGTGACTCAGCAATAAAACCCAGTTAATAGAAGCAATCATTCAATCTTGGTTTCTCATTATAACAGCTGCAGAACTAAAAGACTTAGTTCACTCCATGGGAAGATGTTGTAAGACCGTAATTCATGCTAAAGGTTACCCAGCTAAGTACTGGTATTAACTGATGTGATAATTTTTGTATATCTCGTTTTTTCTCTGGTGATATTTTTTGTATATCTCGTTTTTTTCTATGTGTTTCACTTTTCTTCTTTATACTGTAACTGCTATTCTAATAACAAATCCTTCATAAAAGTTATTGCATTACATTCTTGATTAAATTATCTTTCCATTGATATATAATTTTATGGTACTACTCCCCCCAAAAAAAGTGGTTGTTAGTTTTAGAAAATACACTTTTCCCAAAAGGTTTCCACAATTTTGGCCACTACTGTAAGATGCTATATCCGAGGCCATAGCATAGCTTCTGTATACTCCCTGCTCTGGAGCTTTAAGGAAGATGGACTGTATAAATCATTCTAACAGTATTTTAAGTACTCACTATTTTTCAGCATAGTCTGCCTGACAAGATTGTTGTGAGAAGTGAGAGGGTGAATCATTTTTAGTATTTTGGTTTTTAATGAAAGTTGTGTCGCATTTATCATAAATATATAACAATGGTTTGGTACAAGATGACCTCTTATTTAGAAAAGATCAGCCATTATCAAACATATTTGCTGATAATTATATAGAGAGTCACTAAGTATGGACAATGTTCTGGAATTATCCAGAAACAGGGGGAAATGAAGAACATACCATAAAAGGGGAAGAAACAGCTATCTGGCTACTTAAAAATCCCTTTTATCCTCATATCCAACTAGTTTCATGTGGCTATTTCCTGATTATTTCCCAACCCTGCACTCAGGTTTCCTTTCTCTAACCAATTTGATCCCACCACAGTTATTCATAATGAAATGTCCCATCAGGCCATTGAAATCACTGGATGATTATTATTTGAATTTTAACACCTCCAAATGCAAGTTATTATAAACTCTTCACCAATGAGAAAAATGTTTGTTTGGTTTACTCTAATTTTATTAGACATTAGATCTAATTAAAAGTTCCAGTGTGTGGCAAATGCTTTTTTAATTGCTACAAGATGAGAACATTTGAATTGAGTATTTGAAGAGAAAGTACAGTTAATTAGGCTGGCATACTTGAGGTACTATTTCTACCTATTATTCCGAGGTGTGTGTGGGGGGGGGGGACTCTGCAATTTCTAAGCAGTACTTATTTTAGCCGTAGCTTTAAAACAATTTGTTCCAATTTAAAAATAATTTAACTTTACTTTCTTTATTGCCTGAAGATTGCAGATGAAAAGCCTTAAACTGGCAGTTCTAAAGAGGAATGCAAACTTGTGTTTTCCTACAGTGAGGCAAACTTCCCACACATCAGCATAGAGACATATTTTGCCTAGCAAAAAAGAAAGGCGCTGTACCTTCTCTGTAAGCTATAAACATTTTTTTAAAGTCCATAAAACAGATAAAACAGACAGATTAACAGAGTTGGAAGGGACCTTGTAGGTCATCTAGTCCAATCCCCCACTTAAGCAAGAGACCCTATACCATTTCTGACAAATCCAATCTTTTTTTGAAAGTCTCAAGGGATGAAGCTCTCACAACTTCTGAAGGGAAGCTGTTCCACTGGTTCATTGTTCTCACTGTCAGAAAGTTCCTCCTTATTTCAAGGTTGAATCTCTCCTTGATCAGTTTCCATCCATTATTCCTTGTCTGGCCCTCAGATGCTTTGGAAAATAGCTTTGTTTGTTTGTTTGTTTGTTTGTTTGTTTGTTTGTTTGTTTGTTTGTTTCAATTTCTATACCGGCCTTCTCCAAATAGGACTCAGGGTGGTGAACAGCCAAAGTAAAAAACAGGACATACAAAATTTAAAAACAGTTTAAAATAATTAGATATTTTGGCCGTAAATTAAAACAACCCAATTTAAAATCAATTTAAAATTTAACTCAAGCCAGCCCAGCTAGTTGAAATAAATAGGTTTTCAGGGCTTGACTCCCTCCTCTCTGTGGCAGCTCCTCAAATATTGGAACACACGTCTCTCCTGGTCCTTCTCTTCACTAGACTAGCCATGCCCAGTTCCTGTAACCGTTCTTCATATGTTTTAGTCTCCAGTCCCCTAATCATCCTGGTTGCTCTCCTCTGCACTTTTTCTAGAGTCTCAACATCTTTTTTATAGTGTGGTGACGAAAACTGGATGCAGTACTCTAGGTGTGGTCTTACTAGGGCTTGATCTTGATTGTATCCCGCTGTTAATGCAATTTAGGATTGTATTGGCTTTTTTGGCTACCAATCACCGTTAATCTGAAAGAGTATATAAACCTCAAAATGCTATATATTTATTTGGAGACATCAATATTCATGACAGTTAAGGGTCTAAAACAGATCAAATTTTCTTTCTTCAGCACTTAAAGAGCCTGAAATCTAAGATTAAAGATTTTAAGATGCATTATGGCATTGTGAACATGGTGCTAGTCATAAAAGTGCTACAAAGGTTTTAGTTGTTTCTGCTGCTTCAGATTAAACTGACTATCCACCAGGTTTGGAATGTTTTCAGTTCAATGATTTATGATTAATGTTGTGTTTGAGGACTGGGTTTGGCCAAATCTTCACAGAAGTAGTAGTTCAGTGGTGAGTTGCCCCCAGTTCGGACCGGTTCTATAGAACCGATAGTAAAATCGGAGGGAGGTTCCACTCACCGACTCTGACATCATCAGAAGAGCGCGTGCGCGCAAGCAAAGCAAGCACGCGCATGCGGCCCCGTTGCGAACCGGTAGTAAAGGTAAGTAGAACCCACCCCTGCTACAGTTTTATTAATTAATTATTTATTTATTTAATTTGTATACCGCCCTTCTCCCAGAAGGGACTCAGGGCGGTGAACAGCCAAAATTAAAAATACATACAATACAAAAGTTAAGATAATTAAAAAGAATTAAATCATTGGCTTCCCAATTTAAAACCCCCAAGTCTATAAAATTTAAAATCCCAATTAAGAACCATTTAGGCTAGGCCGGTTTGGTGGAATAAATAAGTCTTCAGGACCTTACGGAAGGTACGGAGTTGCTCCAACTCTGGCAGCAAGTACAGCATTTTGAAGTGTAGGAAGAAATATCCTTCTGGGTTCAGCTCCAAGTGGGGAAAAAGACACTGGAAACATGGAGACTGCTTGGAAAGATGGTTTAATGGTGGACAGAATCACATGGTTTGAGTTCCTGAACAGAAAAAGGGACGAGATACAGCGAGTCCCCGGGTTTTATGCTCTCTCTGGCTTTGAACTTCCTGGGGCCCAGAAAGAGTATCCTGATTGGTTGTCAGACTCCCAGGGGATGGGGGTCTTAGCTAGCCTTGCTGGCTGATGTAATCTTCCCAGGTGCCATGTGGTGAGTTTCTGTTTCTAGATGGGTCCTATTGTGTTGCAGATGAGTTTCAAGGATTGAAAGATTGAGTTTCTGCCTCTGGCCTATTGACAAAGGGTGGGGCAGGAAGGTGGGAGCTGCTTTATCTTAAAACATGCTTCTCCATTTCTCATACAGGGAAACATAATATTCTGCCTTTTTAACATTTCCCAAAATATTTCATTCCTCTAGGAAAGGGGTGGGTGCCAACTTCCTACAGAAGAATCAAAAGATTATGCTTTGGATTGTCGTATTCTGATTTTGTTTGGATTTTAGAGAAATGGCCTTTGGAGCATTTGTATAGTAATGACTCCTTTCCTAGGAAGAGGAATATTGCCTAAGTATGCATTTCTTTGATTGGAATGCCTGGGTATGATAAGGCAGCAGTCAATTACTAAGAGCAGAGTCCCATACATAAAGAGTCAGGTGGGCTTTCATCCATTCTCCCTCTTGCCATGCCTCATTTCTTCTGGGACATATTCACTTTGGTGTCATCACTAAATGCTACGAGCAAGTGGTTGTGTTTTGCTGAGGGCCTAATACTATTAGATAGCCTAATTCAGGTTTACATCCATATTAATCTAAGTAGCATATTATGGAGATACAGGAAGCAATGTAATTAGAATTAGTCCGTGCCGCTTTTCAGTGGGAAACTCTGGATCCTGAAAAGTCTAGTATTTATCATGAAAAATGAGGTGGAACAATGAGGTATAATATCAGGGGATTTAAGCAATAGTGGGCAGATTGGAGTGTCTGTCTGAAACTCTCTTTCACTCTTTCACACATGAGGATAAAATATTCAATTGTGTTTGTAATTCAAGTGTAAAGCCTACACTGGGCAAAATACTCATTTGCATTACAAATGTCTCTCCTTCAGTTTCTCTTCCGCATGAAAAATTATCAGCCATTAACATAAATAGCACAAGAGAGGCTGAAAAGCAATTTAAGCCTTGTGTATGTGAAGGATCCTGTATTTCAAATAATCAGTAGATGGCAATTGCTGGGCCAAGATAAGGATTCTGCTGCAGCCAAAGTTGATGGCTGCCCTCCTTTAGAAGAAATCTTGCATAGGCAAAGATTCTTCTACAACAGCAGTTTACTATTTGCAATGCTACACCAGAAAAGTGTTTCAGTGGGAGAGTGGATGTTCTGTCCAAAAGCCAGGGTACACTTTGATTCCAGGGCCAAGTCAATGGTTAGTTTACAAAGTTTACCATTAATATAAAATTGGGGAAGGAGAAACCTGAGGCCTATAAGTTAAAGTCATTCTACTATGAAGACCTATCAATAAGTTGCCTAATTTTGACAACTTTATCTGCTGATTATACTGAAGGCCCCAAGTAGGGCTTTTGTTAATGCCTCCCACAAAAAGTGAACTTGGAATGAGCATAATCCACAGGATCAAAAAGGTCAACAATCAAGAGTGGTCCTCAATAAGCAGTTTAATGATCTGCACTAAGATCTTCATTAAGAGGATTAAGCTTCTATTATTCAGCACTCAGAATAGTCTGTCCTGTTTCTCCAGTGGCTCTTTGCCCTTTTCCAGTTGGCATTGCTTGGCTCGAGCATTCAAATTATTTCTCCCTTTCCCTCTCCGCCTCTTTGTTAGAAGAAAACATAGCAAAACCTTTGACAAATACAGCAACTTTGATTTGTTGCCAGTCAGCTGTTGACAGTGTTAAGATGAAGCCCTTAAGGAGCTTCCCTGGTCAGATTCCTCCTGCCTGTCTTGGGAACTCTGCCAAGCATTTCATTTACTTCTTCCAGGTATGTTAATGCTCCTTCCTCTGGTTCCCATCAGGTCTCTGTATTTCATGCCTGCCATTTCTTGCCTCCAGACAAGACATGAGCAAGAAAAAAAAGAGGAAAGAGTCAGGACAGTTCAGATTAAGTCACTCAGTGCCACTGAAATCCATTCAGTCCCTTCCTCTGAATTACTTTAAAGGAATTGCAAACAGCACCATGCTGAATGTGTATCTGAGTAGATATTTGAATCAATACATTTCACATGAAGCTATTTTACAAGGTGCCCATTCATTTTGCAAAACTTCTCCTGCCTGAATTTTCCCTTCACAACAGGTCTAAAGCATTCCTATTTTACAGAAGAAGAGTATGGAAGAATGATTTGTCCAGAATGCAGATTTAGGACACAAATCAGAGGTGGGTTTCAGCAGGTTCTGACCAGTTCTGGAGAACCGGTAGCGTAAATTTTGAGTAATTCGGAGAACCGTAGTAAAAATTCTGACTGGCCCCACCCTCATCTATTCTCTGCCTCCCAAGTCCCAGCTGATTGGGAGGAAATGGGGATTTTGCAGTAACCTTCCTCTGGATTGGGGTGGGAATGGAGATTTTACAGTATCCTTCCCCTGCCATGCCCACCAAGCCATGCCATGCCATGCCATGCCACACCCACCAAACCACACCCACAGAACCGGTAATAAAAAATTTTGAAACCAACCACTGCCACAAATGTATATCCTGTCCCAGATCAGGGATTCCATTCCTTGAAATGACAACATTATGTATGACTTGATAGGACTGAAAACAAAGCAAAGTAAGGCGTGCATTTATCAGGACAGGAAATATTCACAGCCTTAAACATAAAAAAAAAAAAAGATTGTTGTGGAATCCTTGTTGTCCTCTGAGCTTGGTTGTTTACTTGCATACCTTTCATTACTAGTGAGTGTGGGGTTTGCTCCCTGTTTATATACAGTAGCTTATACTTCCAATGTTGGTGGGATGTGTGATTTTTTTCCTTGGTAGTTCCTTGATTAGGGTATTGTTTTCTGCTTGTTTGATGATTTGTCGGCTGGAAATCCCTGATTATATAACTATTGATTGCTGGAGATAATGTGTTGTTGTCTTATTGTTTCCTTCTTAGTTTTTTTATTGTTTTTTTTAATGTAACCATATGTAAATATGGTTTATCTCTATGTGCCTATTGATGGCTGATTTGTCTAAATGCTAGGATTCAAGGAATTCCCTAGCATTTTTTAACTTAGTTTAGTCCAGAATGCTCAGTTTCCCAATTGAAACTATGTTGAGCCAGTCTATGTTATGAGTTTAAGATGTTTTCATTGTGTTTTCTAATTGCTAGTTTATGTTCATGGATGCGCTCTGCTAGTCTTCTGCCTGTCTGTCCTACAGATCGTCTGTCTAATTGATTTTTGATTAAAACAAATTGGAAGACAAGAAGGTAATATTTTAGGCAAATGCTAGAAGAGATAATTGATAGTCATGCTTCAAGGCATAGAATTATTACTAAGGGAAATCAGAATAGTATTCCCCCTCCTATGTATTACTTATCTGCATTTTCCCATTTATAAATCTATAGACACTTCATCAGAGTAAAGGAAAAACAGATGTGTGTCCTATAACATAAGGTCTGTTACATTTCTGTGAGGAAGAAAAAAATCCAGTCAGCTAGCTTCTAAACTTTGATTTATTGCCATTAATATTAAATCTGCTTTTAACCTATGTAAGAGGTTTAATATTACTCTCTTTGATAATCTCTTGTCATTTTTGCAATCATATTCATCCTATAATAATTACCTTCTAGGAATAGATAAGTAACTGGAACTGTCCATCAATGGATGGTAAAGCCAGATTTGTAATTCATCCATTACAACCAGAGATGCTAGTTGTTCAATAGTATTTCATGTGAATAACTGAGGTGTGTCCTTGTTCTTGATATAATGATCTCCTATATACCACAGAGGGGTGGGTTCTAAAAATTTTTACTACCGGTTCTGTGGGCGTGGCTTATTTTGTGGGCATAGTTTGATGGTCATGTGACAATTCTTTAGGATTTAGCAGAGGTACTGGTCTACCAGGCTTTTAACTGCTTGCAGAGCTGTACTGCTCTACCCATTTGTTCTTGGAATGTCCAGGTCTACCCATTTGTTTTCGGAGTGTCCTGGTCTACCTATTTGTTTTTCCAGCATCCCGGTCTACCCATTTGTTTTTTGAGCATCCCGGTCTACCCATTAGTTTTTTGAGCGTCCCGGTCTACCCAATTGTTTTTTGAGGCACTGGTCTACCACCACACTGCCTTTTAACACTGATCAGCTGTAGGGCGGCAAGAGTTTAAACAGTTTTTTTTTCCTTCTAGCCATCAGCTGGGACTCGGGAGGCAGCAAATAGATTGGGGGCGGGGCCAAATAAAAGGTAAGAATAATGCGAACAAAGAGAACTGGTTTGGTGACGTCATATCATCACCGCTACCGGCTCGGCGGAACTGGGCGGAACCAGGAGAAACCCACCACTGATACCACAGCAGTGACAATGGTACTGATGAGGTCCATCCAGTTTTCTTAACAACATTTTCAGAAGTGGTTTTCCATTGCCTTCTTCCTAGGGCTGAGGTGACCTGGTCCATGGTCACCTAGCCTGATTTTTTGCTTAAAGTGGGACCAGAAATCATGGTCTCCTGGTTACTAATCCAGTGGCCTACCCATAATAACAAACTGGCTCACAAGGCATCATTATTAAGGACTAAGTATATAAATGTGCATAGGATTATGCTGTAAATCACTGTCAAGCCAATTTTCATTGTCAAAATCAATAGTAATGTCTTAGACAAGGCCATCTCTCTTGGGGCATTGCTCTATGTTTTTTTCTGAATTGACCTCTCTATTCCCCCCCCTTTTTTTTTTTTTGCTTCCACTCCAAATCAGCTTTCCAAGCATTAAAATGGTAAAGATTCCCCCGAGCCAACCAAGTTCCTGGTTACTACAGGTTATTAAAAAGGTTTTGTTTCAAAAAAATCTTTTGCCTTCTTCCCTATTTTCCCTGTTCTCCCTCAGCTTCATAAGAGAGTCACATCACTGCTCCCTGCTATCCTGGGGGAGGCAGGGGCAATACGCAAGCTATTACACTCTCCCACAACTGTAGAAGCTTTGCAGACTGTTTTCTTTAAAAAAATCCAATATCTGCTTGTAAATGAAAGTGTCAGTGAGCGGGGTGAATGCTTACAAAGGCCTTGTAGTGTGTTCTGTGGCTGCCTTCAAAGCAGTTCAATTTGTTTGCCTTTCCCCAGAATCTTTGACGTGCAGCAGCAAAGACCTGGATGGTGAGATCTGGTTGTAACCTAAGGAGGAGAACAACTATTAACTTGTAGTCTGCAGACTGATCACCCGTTATCCCAGAGGCCCTTAACATACAATACAGTTGTACTAATGCTGTGAGATTGCCAGAGCCACAGATCTGCTATGCGTGCCAGGTCCCTACTAGCCCCACACTGTTCGATTTTTATGACCCTAAGCGAGCAAGCTTTTTAAATGTCACCAAGTCGGCATCCAACTAAATCAAGACACTCTAGCAAACCTAGAGTGGTGTAGCAATGTAAACACATGTTTGCCGTTCATATTTATTTCTTTGCTGAAAGGAATATCAAGAAAAGATTTGAATGACCAATTTAAGTATTTCATTTTAAAAAAAAGGTGAATTGGGAATATAATGTCAGCAAAAAGGGGATTTGCAAAAGAAGTACAATAAACAGGTGTCAAGTGTCAAAGTATCCCTCGACACCATACAGATTGGGGGGGAGGCAGGAAACGGTCGAACGCGAGGCGAGCCAGAAGACATGCTGGGCAACGCCGAAACTGATGATAGGCGACGCCGAAAGAAATGACAATGAGCACAGGGGTTGGTGATGACGACGGGGTCAACCATCAGCAACACTCAGGTGTTGCTGATGGTTGACTAGGGGGGGCTCGGTGAGGCAAACTGTGAGCAGACAAATGGCGAGATACCCATGCCTCGGTGGACAGATGACCGAGCAGCACGGACAGATGATGTAAGAAAGATGTGTCGCTTGTAGCACCTCTGCGGCAGATTCAAACAACAGCTGAGATCAATTGAGAAGGAAGTGTAAAGCGGGCTGAGGGGCAGATGCCCTCAGCTCCGACTTTATTCCGTTCTAGCGATCCGGCTTTCACCGAAAGCTGTCGAGTAACTGACATTAAAAACGTGTTTGCATCAGCTTTGTCGTTCATGGTTTGATTGACTTGCCTGGCACCAGCACAGGCACTTAGGGAAAGCCGAGAACAGGAGGGGCATCCATGGGATGTGGTCAAAAAAAAAAAGACAAGATAATGGCTGCAGTGGTAAAACCAGAACCCTGCCTGTTATTTATATCTGTTCCATGTGTTACACATTAAAAAAAACACCAGAGATGCCATCATACCATAATGGCCTATCATTCTGAGTTTTTTTTTTAAATCATCATTCATTGGCCATTCCTGATAGACAGGAGCCAATGCTTCCCCTTTTCTTATTTGTTTCTCTCTAGAAGCATGTTTTCTAGAATATCAATATTCCCAGAATTGCGACTTCACTGTTACAGTCTTATTTAGTTTGTATTGGTTATTTTGTTTTTAGCATTTTTGTCCTTCAAGTTATTGTGGACCACCCATAATCGCATTACTCAAATTGGGTGGCCATATCAAGGTTTTAAATAAATAAATAAGCTTAGCCACACAACCAATTCTTTTTTTTTTCCTTGAGAGGTGAGGGGTAAAATGATGTAAACTGTTCCTTATGCCTAAAAAATTTGTACAATAGAGACTTCTTGATCTGAGACCAAGCATGAAGCACTGTATCACATTTAGCATCTCTATGAATCACACAAATTACACATCTAATTAGAAAACGCCAAATTAAAAATAAGTAATTGACATGACCAGATAATCTTGCCAGGACCATGGCAGATTATGTAAACTACTTTCTATGAATTTTAAAACAGCTTCTGTTAATTTCACAGTGGAAAGAGTATTGTTTCTAAGTGCTACAGTAAAGAGGGTGAAAGAGTTCAGCAGTTCATGCTGAAACAACTTACAGCCCAACTTTAAATTGAAGTCTAACTTCATTTTTGCACTCCTCCATTGTCCCTAATTTCTGCTACTCTTTTCCATTGTCTTATGGTTCATTGCTAACCATAAATATAGCTCTTCCTGCTTCAGATGTCCAAACAATATCTGTCTATCAGAAAGAATGTGTATGTTGTGGTCCGCCAGCAGCCTTTGGAGCTGGCAGAAGAGTCAGATAGTGAGGAGTCTGGGGAGGAACATGGGCCAGTCCTGGACTCTGGGGAAGGCTCAGACGAGGGCTCTGCATCGGAGGCAGAGATGGGGCCAGGGCCATCTGGGAGTTATGTGCGGACTCCGGAGCTTCCACAGTTGGACATCAGAGAGGCAGAGGAACAGGGAGAACCTGTTCCTAGTGCGTGCATGCTCAGAGCTGCCAGAAGGCAAGAACAGTTAAAACAAAAGGGACGACTTGGGAGTAAGGCTTGGAGATAATTGGCCCCTCCCATAAGACATAAAGGAAGAGCAAAGGCACATGGGCCTTTGCAGGAAGCAATGTTGTAGATGGTATCGGTTTGTACTTTGAAGCTTTGTTTTTGACTCTGTGTTTCCGTGTGGCCTTGCCAAGATAATTGCCAATTAGGTCTTTGGCAGCGTGTCAAAGAAAATAAAGGTGGGTGTTTACCAGCCTTATCCGAAGAACTGTGGCAGACTTCTGTTGGACTATTTATAAACTCTTGGTGATTCAGCACATACTGTGAATGAAAGGAATTCACAGTCATTAAAATACTAAAAAAGGGGGTTTTGGGACTAATTGTGTGCTTTTTACTATATCAGGAAGCCTAGGCCAGAACAGTGCATCCTTAGAGTGGGCCCAATGGAAGATCACAGCTGTCTCCTTGCAATGTGTAGATCATTTCATACAATTACAATGTGAAGGAGAACAATCTCACTATAGCAACTATAACTCTTCAGGGGTGGTGAGTTACAGTTCACATGTGTTCAACTACAATTCCCATACGTCTAAGGAATCATGGCCATATAATAATTGTAATCCACACTGAAGAAATCTCTTTAGAGGTAAATATTAACCAAGTTATGAAAATCAGTGACAAAAACTATATGAATGTGTATTATTCATACACAGTCTATTATTAATGTAAGAATCTAAGGAGGGACACAACATTACTATTTCAGCAGGCTAGTCTGACACCAACTGAGAAAATTCTATTAAATTCCAGTAGTTAAAAGCCACAGGGCAATAATTAACACAGAATATGTATGAATAAAAGACAATAGTGAGTGACACTGATTTGTAAAGGAAATATTTATTTATATGTAAGATTTAATATTTCATTTCTCAGGACTCCCACAGTGATTCACCAAACAATACAAAATATGGAACAACCCCACCCCACCCCCAATAGGGTCACTTCAGTAAAAAAATTATGAAAAGTAGCAGAATTATGAAATTATGGGAAATTTCAATAAGTTTCAGCAAAAGTTCAAATTTCTAATAAGACTTTTAAAGCCCATACAGGTCAGTAGGCCTTTAGCCAAGGTTAAAAAAAAAACATTGGATAGACCTTCCAAAATCAAGGGACATAACTAAGGTCTTCTCCCTGATCAACACCTGGCTTATCTCCTAAGAGATAACTATGCAAAAGCAAAGTGATTTTTATTACTTTGCTAGATTTATGAGAAAAGGGCTATTATATTTATATATGCACCATGGCCTAGTGGTTAAGATGCTGGGCTTGTTGACCAGGAGATTGGCAGTTTGAGACCTAAGTACTCCATGGCGGATAAGCTCCTGTTCCTGCACAAGCTCCTGCCAATCTAGAAGTTCAAAATATGCAATTGCAAGTAGATAACTAGGCACCACTTTGATGGGAAGGTAACAACATTCTGTGCACCTCAGCGTATAGTCATGCTGGCCACATAACCACAAAAGCATCTTCAGACAATGCTGGCTCCCTTGTCCAGGAAATGGAGATGAGCACCAACTCCTAGAGTTGGACATAACTGGATAGGGGAAACATATACATATACATATTTCATGGTAATCGTTAAATGAGGACTTTGAACTGAACTCAGAAACAAATTAGATTATTTTGTAGCTGCTTAAAGATTGGAGATATGCTTTATGTACCTTAGCTACAAAGGCAGACCTACACATAATATTTTGTAAAAAATCAAAACATGGAGAGTAACACAGCAGTCTCCAACAACAGTAGAGCTCATATAAGATGCTATGGTTCAGAAATGATTTTGAAAATAAAGGTGGTGAAATTTTCAGTCCCCAAAAGCAGCATGTATGTGGAATGAAGGACAGGATTTAAATCAAGATGGTTGTTTCTTTCCAGCTATTAAGAGAAGGGGGGAAGCAAACTTCAACTGCAACTCTGCCTTTAACCTTGAGGAATATGAGTGATTGTCCTTGAATATCCTCTTCAATACAATTGCATTCCTGGCAAATTACCAAATAGCTGTAGCCTGTTATAGCCTACAAACTACAATAATGTGATTTCTGCTGTGGAGCATGGTATTCAAGGTTACTCATTCTCATATGTCCTCCTTCCCAGTAGATCAGTTTGTTTGTTTGTTAGGTTGTTTGTTTTATTAATCAAATTCCTACACCATCCACCCATTAAATCCTTACAAAATATAACCAAGGTGAAGAGACAGAAAGAGTGCCTTCAAGTTACCAACTACCTCTAGGGTTGTGTAAAATTCTTGGATCCCTGGGTCAGTTAACAGTCTTCCAGAAGGCCAAAATAGTGGGAGCCAACTTCATCTCCAGGGTCCAGATGTTCCATAGGTTGGGGAGAACAGCAGAGAAGGCTCTCCTCTTAAACCTAATCAGTTAGAATTCTTTAGCCAACAGAATGCATAATATAATCTTCCCACTGACTTGATGGGATGGGTCAATGTAATTGAGACAAGACAGTCTCTCGGGTAATCTGGTCTGAGCCATGAAGGGCTTTAAAGATCATAACTAACACTTTGAATTGGACCTGGAAGAGCACCAGCGCTCAATGAAACTCATTCAGTAGAGATATTATACGTGCAGCTGTAAGTGCAGAAGCAGGTTGTTCCCCATCCAAACCAGTTACTACCGGTTCACAACGGGATCTCTACAGCATTCTAAAATCAAGCTCTTAATAGACCACACAAGAAAACAGAGAGATGCCAAAACTGGAATGAATATCTAACAATAACATGATTTAACAATGGTTGTGGTTTTTTTTAAAAAAAATACTTTTAGCATAAAGCCAAAAGA